GGCTAGGATCTGAGGGGATTTCTGCTCGAGCTGCCAGATTACAAGAAAGAAGAAGAAAAAGAATTTTGGCTAGGATCTGAGGGGATTTCTGCTCGAGCTGCCAGATTACAAGAAAGAAGAAGAAAAAGAGCTATTGTTTTATTACTGCTGATGCTGCTGAATTTGGGAGCAAAGATGGAGCGGCCACAGTGATTCAATTGGGATGAGTTCGTGCTGGTTTTATAGTCGCTGGTTATGCTCTTTGCTTTGTTTGAAAGAAAACTTCGTTAAACTTCTGATGTTTTGTTTTTGGTTACTTTTGACAAACTTGTTATCATCAGTTAGTTGTGGGCGGTTATATCCAGTTGTATATAGGGGATGGAGTACTACTACTTGTAGTATTTTCTTTTGAACTCTAGTATATACTCTTGGTTGGGAGTATGAACTATTTTTTGTAACAACCATCCTTTAATTTAGCTGGCTGGAATACCTTTGGGGTATTCCATCCTTTTTCTCAAAAACAAAAAAAAAAAAACTTTGGAAAAATTTCACTAAATCTCAATAAGTTTTGGTGTTTAGAACCTCCTAAAATTTTAAACTCTCGCTAAACCCCCAATAACTTTGGGAATCAAGAAAATCCTTAAGCATTTTGAATTTTTTTCACTTAACCTCCGATAATTATTCTACGATGTTTATGTGATATTCTGTCTTTGAAAACTCAAAATATGACGGGTAGATGCCATTATAGTGGTTAAGTGCAAGAATAATAACTTTTTGGGGATTTCTAGAATTCCCAAAGTTAGTAATTAAGAGTTGGGAAAAATGCTTTCAGCCCCCAAATTCGTAACAAATATGCTTCCCCCTCCCAAGACTTTTTCAACGCTCTAAAAACCCCCAAATTCGTAATAACTATGCTCTGAGCCCCCAAAACACAAAGCCCAAGAATTTTACACAGGTAAAGACTATAATACCCATTCTCTCTCTCTAATATTATATTCGTAATAACCATACAATCTCTCCTCTCTCCCTCCTCCTTCCCCCACCATTTTTGCCCTAGCTCCCTCCGTCCCTTCTGCAATCCTTGTGGTGGCCGAAGCTCCTCTCCGGTCTCACGCCTCGACCCCTCGCCTCTGCTCGCTGAGATCCTCCGTGTCCACCGCTGATCCCAGCGCGGCGTCTGCTCGACCCCTCGGCCTTTGCTCGCCGAGAATATTTCATGAAGCTCAGAACCTCAACCTTAACCTGTCCCTGCAGTCTGGGCCTCGTCCCGAGCACGCACGAGTTTTCTCGTGTAACTATTGCAGACAGACTTTTTACAGCACCCAAGCTCTTGGAGGACACCAGAATGCACACAAGCTGGAGCGCAACCTAGCGAAGAAGAGCAGAGAGATGGCTAATGATTGAATTGATCTCGTAATGACACGTGCGAACTTGATGTTTCTTTGTAGCTTCTGAAGCTAATGCATCTAGATTTACTAGCAACAGAGTTTCTTCCTGTCACATGTTTTCTTTTTGGGATCTTTTTCTTTTTTTATTTTCCCCCTTCAAAATAAGTTTTCCTGTTCGAAAAAGAATGCCTCTTCTCTCTTGCATTAACGGTATTTTCTTTCTTCACGTTTAATATACATGTACCCAATGATAGTTATCTTTTCTATTTGCAGATAAGGTTACGGTTGTTAAGGTTACGGGTTGTTAAGATTACGGGTTGCTTGTTAAGGTTACGTGTTGCTTGTTAAGGTTACGGTTTGCTTGTTAAGGTTATGCGTTGATTGTGAAGATTAAGCTTAACAACCAACCCGTAACCTTAACAACCAACCCGTAACCTTAACAATCAACGCGTAATTTCCAAAAAGACCATCTTTCTGTTTTAATAGGTTTTACCATGCTTCGTGCAAATGACTTTGAATGATGATTAGGTTTTGGGCTTGAGTTTTAATGTTACACGTCTGGGGTCTGCTCCTAATGTGTACGGATCCTTGCTTAACTGGTTACGGTTAACTCTAACCACCAACCCGCGGTAACCTTTACACAACGCACCCCGCTATCCCACATTCACAGACGCAACCCCGAACCTTTAACATCCAACCTAGTACACCTAACAAGCCAACCGTATAACCTCTACAACCAACCACGTAACCCTTAACACACAACGCGCTTCCATCAACCTTGAACAACCCAACCACCGTATAACGTATTAACCCCAGACGCAACGCGTCACAACCTTCAAAACCCACCGGTACAACCTTCCCTGCATGAAAAAGGATGAATGAAGTACTTTAAACACACACGCACAAGTTGTATGAAAAGACATAAAGTCACAACTTAATTTCCAAAACACACGCGACTATAGAGTGCGTGGGGGGATGATGACGCTGGAGGATGGAGAGGGGGTTTGATTGCGTCTGGGGAGAGGATTGGGTTGGAACAGAGGCGAGGGGTCGAGCGGAGGCCGCGCTGGGATCGGCGGTGGACACGGAGGATCTCGGCGAGCGGAGGCGAGGGGTCGAGGCGTGAGACCGGAGAGGAGCTTCGGCCGCCACGAGGGTTGCAGAAGGGACGGAGGGGGCTAGGGCAAAAATGGTGGGGGAAGGAGGAGGGAGAGAGGAGGGATTATATGGTTATTACGAATATAATATTAGAGAGAGAGAATGGGTATTATAGTCTTTACCTGTGTAAAATTCTTGGGCTTTGTGTTTTGGGGGCTCAGAGCATAGTTATTACGAATTTGGGGTTTTTTAGAGCGTTGAAAAAGTCTTGGGAGGGGGAAGCATACTTGTTACGAATTTGGGGGCTGGAAGCATTTTTCCCTTAAGAGTTTCAAAATTCTGGGGTTAGTTGTCAAACGCCAACTTGGCGGTTTAGTTAAATTTATCCAAATTTTGGATCACAGGTTGCCCAGATGTTTTTTTTTTTTTTTTCACTTCTACATTTTGGATTAGGTAGAGTTTTCTTTTGACAATTTATGCTACAAATTCTTCAATTATTTTAGGTGACAACAAGAAAGTTTTCTAACCAGCCTACAGGTTCCCTTCAGCTTTATAGCATACTTCTACTGACAATTTTTTCGTAGATTTCCTCAGTCTACAATCTAATCAAGAACTCGCAGAGCACGCTCACTCTCATTTCAGCAGAGAGAGGACGAAGGTAGGTCCCTTTTGTTTGCTCTGTTCTCCCATAGCTGGGCTTTTTTCAGAACTCTTTGACTTTAGTTCATTAATTACTCCTATTCTGTGTCTCTGTATAGGGATTAAGATTTTGAGATTGCATATTCAGCTGAATGGCTAGCATCTTTACATATGTATTTAATAAGAAACATAGTTACCTAACATTTCATACATGGTGTGCAAAACATTTTTACATCCGCAACATACATACACTAAAATATGAAAAACTTAGGACGGTCTTAGTGCGGAACTAGTCGAGTACGTAGAAATTCCCATCGAGCACCCCACATGCGAGCAGAATGTTCTCCACTTACAGATGACGATAGGAGGGTTAGTTTGGTCATTTCAACGATATCATTCGCATAATGCTCAGAATACCTCACTTGCATGCCAATCACTGCGGGTGTGTTTGGCAACTCACCCAAAATTGAGACAAGGATAACCCAGCCCCATGCTCTATCATAAACTAGTTCTAGTTTAGATAAAGAGAAGAGTGGGCCAATTATGATCCATTTTTTTATCGGGACAACCCTGCCCCAGCTTCATTTAGTCCTGATCTTGTTTAAAGAGATTGCCAAACAGGGGCAGATCTATCACACTCTAGGATCGCAACCCTAGACATTTACGAATTTGCATGTATATTCATGCAAAATTTTACATCCACCCCACTATGAATTATAAAAATTAGACCCCCAAAGCCCAAAACACAGCAATTTGAATTAATTAATTAGAAAGTAAAATCTTATTTAAATTTCTAACAAAAAGTTTTATTGCGATGCATTCTCATTATGTATTATTATAGTTTTATAATGTTATATTCATTTTATTTGTAGGTGCTTAAAGGAAAACTTTCTGGATCGTCGCCAAAGACGCGCTACAAGAGTGAGCGTATTCCACTTAACATGAGTGTTTTATTCCCTGCAGAAGACTTCATTAACCTGAACAAAGCATGTAGCGTGGGCTCCGCAAATTGCACGCGCAATCCCCGATGTAGGAAGAAACAGACAAGTTTTGGGACCCACGAATGAGAAGGACATCAGGCTTGTTTGGCGGTCGTGGTCCTCGTGGAGACACGAAGGATGACAGAGAGCCATCGTCCGCAAATTGCAACGCCCTTGTCATTTCGAAAGATTATTCACCGCGCTTGGCTAATTCAGTTCATCATCTAGGAACGGGCGTAGCTAAAATATTCATTCTCACTTTTGGTTTATGTATATATTAACCATGACAGATTTTTTTGAAGTTAGAATTCTCATTCATCGTTCTTCTTCTTTCTCACTTTTTATGGGAATAAGCATCTCCGATGACTTGATAGGGAAGAGACATTTTCACTTAAGTAAAAATGAAAAAGCTAAATTAAATATCAAATATGTCATGATATCTTATTAATTATCCTAATAAAAAACAAAATTGATTTTTCATTCTCACCTTATTATCTAAATAAAAAATAAAATGATTTTTCGTTCTCGCTTCATTATCTACTCGCATCCAAACATGATAATAACGATGACCCATTTCATTTCTTCATTTATTCCATTATCACTTGATATGATTCTCCTGTACCAACCGAGGCATGCGCGTGATTTTAATTTCTACTAGCATTCATGTATCATACCCAGAGGAGAGAGATTGTTCATCAATCTCTTTGCCGATTTATAAGCTATAAAAGTATAAGTAAATACTAGGAGGCAAATTGAAGACTCCAAAGCAATCGAGCACCATAATGCAACTAAACTGAGATCTGCACCGAAAGCTAATTGCACGTAAGCAAAGAGCCTAAATAGGGAAAAATCATAATAGTATAAGAGAAAGCTAGTCAAAAGTCATGAGCAAAGAAATAATGATGGTAATGGTACATGAGAAAGCTTAGACCTCCACTGCATATAAACTGCTAAAAATAGAAATGCTTTTTCCGGAAATACACAATAGTCTGGTGTTAAATTTCCATAGTAGTATACAACTGCAGTAGTTCAAAACCACAACATTGAGTAACCAAAACCAGATCTCAAGTAGAAGTACAAAACTGTACTCTAGGATTAAAAAGTGTCATGCTAACAACTGGACAGCCAAGCTAAGGGTAACACAACCCAATACTCAGATTCTACTGGGTTATAGACACCTGATCTTGACCATTAGCAACATTTGCTGAAGCTCATCAATTCATTAGAAATTCTCTCTTTTAGAACTTTAATCGGCTATACCAACACCGTTAGTGTCAAGATCCGCTTCACCCATTCCTGTATCTTCCTCCTCTTCAGAACCTTCATCGCCATCAACTTCCTCGTTTGCAGATGTTAGTTTGGCCATGTGCTCCGCAAGGAGCTTATCATCTCGTTCACTCACCTGAAAAAAAAAAGTGCAGTGTATAACAAAAAAAACAAATAAGCAGGTGGCAATTTGAAGCCGGAAAATATCCTATAGAGGGCCTTCCATAGACAACAATGCAATCACTATCAACGCAATCATCTGTCTATCGATGCAGACAGTAGTGATTGCATTGACATGTGCATCAAGACTCATAATAACAATGTCAGGTGTTAAACCTCCGCTTCCACTATACGATATTCTACAGAAGATCCTATATAGGATTCTTTTCCCTTGAAGCTATATCCAGACGAACGAGAAATGATGAAGAACAAAATTGACATATGAAGCAGCAAAGCTGCATATGACTGTATAATGTGGAATCAGAAGCAACAACAAACCCAAAAAGAGAGAATTTAGTAGGAACCAGAACTCACCGCTCTAGGTGCCTCCTTCACAAGTAGTTTCCCCTTGTGCAAATCTATAGCTTCAGTGCAAGCCTTGATAGCATTAGTGAGAACTGTTATCCCTTGTTCCTGTCATGAAGCGCCACAAGGAACAAATTAGCTCTTTTAAAATATGTTTTACTAACGATGCATACTTGGCTGATAATAAATCTCCTAGTCAGTTTAAAAATGATAAGGGTAAATATTGGAAAAGCTTGAGACCTGAGAGCATGAAACCACAAGCTAAAACCAGGTGTAGCCTTGGGAGCAACACATTCCTCACATCTAAAATATAAGCGTTTAGCTAAATGACTACCCTTATGATCCCTAGCAACATACAAATTACTGATTTACCACGTATTCTACAAGCATGTGTAAAGCTCCTTGAGATTGCATTGTATCATCCATCGAAAGATTCAAGAGTATTTCAAATCACATGATATGAGAAAAGTTGACTTTAGGCTGTGCACTCGGTGTTCTAAATGCCGGCTACCATGTCGGACATTGTCGACCCACATGTCGGATTTAGGGACCAACCGACATAATATGGGGCTTTTCAATACGTATTGCGTTTTTAAGGTTCATGTCGCATATATCGGGGGGCATGTCGGATATGTCGGGCGGATATATCGGGGGCCATGTCGGCTATGTCGGCCGATTTTTCAGTTTGAAAAATTGGCTGATTTTTTGGTTATGTTTGTCTAATCAGGTTTGTGTTTAAATTCCTGATTGTCTTAATGTTGCTTCCAAAGATAAAACCCAATCAATTAATAAAAATAAAAAAAAAGACCGAAATCATTTCCGTCGCTTCTCTTCTCTCTCTCCTTCGACATCTTATCAGTCTCTTCTCCGAGTTGTTCCTTCCACATCAATATTGGGTGATCTTCTCTCTCATTAACTACCAACATTGCACTCCTCTTTTCTCGTCTCTTTCCTTCAACATCAACCCTAATCATCATAAGTTATTTACTTTTTTTATATGGTTAGATAAAAAAATTTATTAAGTATGTTTAGATTTCATTTACGATATTTATATTACACATACGCACACCATCCGATATGGCAATCCGATATTTTTTTTATGTCCCCTGACATATCCCCGATTTCCGCTATCCGACATGAATCTTAGCCATCCAATATGAACCCGACATCCAACGTTTAAAACCTTGTGTGCACTTGCTTGACATGACCTTGGCTTTAAATGACATGTGACACATGCACATCCTCTCAATGTGATAAGAGTGCTCTTGATGCCTTTACAATAAAACCAACATTCAAGTTTCTCGATATTTCCTTTCCTTGGAAGTTCAAAACTTGTCCAGAATTTCATGGGTACAAGTTATTGTGGTTGTTGTCGTTACTGTTGTTAGGTATAGGAAGGATAAATCATGAAAGCCCTCACAAGGATTATCCCGATAAAAGGATATTAACTCAGTGGTTTAGGGGCTATTTGGTTCAAAAACCATATTTATAGAAAACTCAAATCCTAGAAAAGATTTTTTTTTTTTGGTGCTTTCTATGAGTTTCTTGGGAAAAAGATTTAGTTGTTTGGTTCACCCCTAAATCATGACCAAAAAATAGAAACCTCAATTTTACATGTTTGGTTGGTGCCTAAAAAATAGGAAACCATATTTATAAGAAACAATTCGGATGGTGCATAAAAAGCCCCCCCCCCCCCCCCCCCAAAAAAAAAAAAAAAATCATTCATCTTTATTCAATTTCCAGCCCATTTCCAAGCTAAAAACTCAAAAATGGTTTTTCTTGTGTTTTTGAGGTGGCATGACGTATCAAGAAAACGTTTTTTAAAGAGTTTGAACCAAACTGGAGAATAGGAAAACTTTTATGGAAAAAGCTGATGTGGTTTTTCTAGTTTTTCCCCAAACCAAAGAACCCCTAAGACAAAAGAAAAGGCGCAGATCAGAAAGAACATATTATTTTGGCCTAAAAGAACAGAGTGCAATCCTGTTGAACGAAAACCTTAAAAACAGAAGAGCAAAAGGTATGATGGTAAATCCATGAATATTTGGATTCCGTCAGGAAACGTTGATGGACCGGGCTGATTGCTGAAGTTTACATTTGAATATCGCGTTTGTGGATCCCAATTTCTTCTACAAGTAACCAGCTTGTCTCCCCCTCCTTATTCATGATCATGGACTCGAAATCAGTTGATCAATTTTCAGTCTGTTCGTTGCATTAAATCCAAGTCCCTCCTTTCTTATACCTCCATATAATTTATCCCATGATACACAATAATGTACTTTCTCAAAACCAATTTCCAAAAATAACAATTTTTCACTTTCAGAATCCATATTTAACAAATATCAGAAAATGCCTCATTCCAGCTTAGAATTACTTCTAGCATAGCAGTTACTGGCTAATACACATCTTCTTGACATTCAACTTGGCTAGTAAACACTTTTGCAGTTTATTCTTATGATCAATTTTCATAGTTTGTTTGCCACACAGGCATATTCAATTTCTTCTCATTTAAACTGGCTATGCAAAGATACTAATTTTAATGAAATTATAGAGTTTTAACTCGTAACTCCTTATCTTGTTTCTTTCATGATAACATTATTCTCCACAGCAAGACATATTTGTACGAATCACCCAAGTCATTATAACTCACCATGAAATGGCTCTTCAAAATCTGACCATTCACAAATATCCACTTAAATAGTATAGCTTAGTAGAAGCCAGTATATTTATAATTATTGTTGTTTTCCTTTCTTTTTTCCTTATTCAAGTATTCTTCTGCAAAATAAACAAATAACTGATACATGCTCCTTCAGTCTTGACGGCCAAATCCTCCTGTCTTATAATCTACACCTGAAGCTCTTATATCCTACATAAGACAGTTTAACTTTGTGTTTAATTCTTTATCATTAAAGATCTTCCTTGGAATGTGAAACTGAATTGATTCTTTACAAGAAGCATAAAAATAGCTATTTCATTGTGCAATCTGGTTTAAATTCCATAGTTAGTTGATTGTTAAAAAGAGCCATAACATGTGACACAAGTTACATACTATCATTTAAACGTCGAAATCTAACTTGTGAACAAAAATCAGCTAAATTGAGATTTGTATGGCAGTTACTAAATTAGAAAGAAAACAGAATAGCTTAAGACAGGTATTCAGGAGGGGGGTGGGGTGTGGGGTATTGAGAGAGGGAGGGAGATAAACTTCTGAGATCCCGATCCCAAAACATCAATTTCAACCCCCGCAAACTTTCCAGATCTCAACGATAAGATGGCAACTTCATTCAGGCAAATCCTAGGCAAGTTATTAGAAAAACACTTCATGTTTCTTACACTTTTAAAAGCAATCAGATGCTTGGACACTTTGAAGACACTTGTGAACATTCCTCCGACACATCAAGTGATCAATTCAACGGGTCATCACCCTTCAATTTCAATATCAGTACTCAATATGACGAATCTAGTGTCAAAAGATAAACCAACATCTGAATCAATTATAAACAATGACTGATTGGTTAACTGGTTTGCTGATATTTGAGTATACAGAAGCAGTTGTACATGTTCATATTAAATATAGCCAGTTACCCGTGTCAAAATTTCGGAACATTCCCATGTGAAGGACTCCATGACACATGAACACTTGGGAGGCATGTTTAGTGCCATCCATGCTGGCCTAGGTGTTGCAAGGACAATTCACAACTTGAAAAAGAGAAACCTGGTCAAAAAGATCATGGATCACTGATCAATCAGCTTCTATATGACCTATAGTCAAGCCAAGGTTGCGGAAAGCGGAGCGAATGGTGCCAATTAGATTTTTGGGGCTTAAACGGGGCTTAAGTGGAAAAAAAGCACCAAAGCATTTTCTTGTTTTTATCTTAAATAAGGATAAAGTTCCAAAAAAAATAGGGGGAAAATCTAAAAATTATAGAACAAGCAAAAATGGAGGAAAATTTTCTACAAATGCATATGTGATAATATATAGAGATCCTAAATATGAAATAGATGTGTAACAATAATTAGATTGAATCACACAATATTGTTAAATAATATACACATTGTAATGTGATATACTAACATGTAGTTTGATATTCACATCATAGTCAACAAGTTAATGTCTTAATAATGAAAATTATCCCAGAAAAGAAAAGATACTTATAAAATACAATTCATCATTATATTGCTCCAAATTTCTTCCAAACTTCAAATGGGTACCTCCTGGGGAGAAAAAAAGGGGAAAACCCATGTAAACATGAAGAGAGAAAAAAAATACAGAAAGTGTTTTGACCGCCTAACATTAGCATGGCAGCGCCTAAGCCTCTTTTGGCCACTTCGGGCCGCATTTTGGCTGTTATGGCCGTTTTTAAGCTTTTTTGGGCCACTTTTTGACAGCTTTTGTCTCAATAGATCTTCCTTAATGGGGGCACCCTTCTAGACGAAAGCGGCCCAACTGCTTAATTGGCCCGCTTGAGCCTTAACAGAGCAGGAAGGTGTTGCTTCCACCTTTTTAAGCACTTTTTATCGCTTTTTACAACATTGATTATAGTTGTTTTGATGCACACTATTGGCAATACTAAATTGTGTCTGTTTAGTTGTTTCAGAACACTAGAAGACCAAAAGGAATAGAATGTAAAAACAAATAGTACTGGTGCAAAAGAAGAAGGATACAGTCGTCACCAGTCATTGCTATCAAAAAGATCCTAGGCCACCCACCAGAAAACCTATATTCAAAGGGTTCCAGATCTCAAAATGCATTTACCAGTAATGCCTAAGGGTGTTTGGATGACACAGCCTCAAGTATTTTAACAATTTAAAAGTAGATTTCATTTTTGACATGGAAAGGGAAAATTGATAGTGATGACTTGTTTGGATGTCAATTTTTTTAACTAAATTTCTAAGGATTACAATCCAAAAATGGCACAATTCCTCGGAGAGAAAGAGGCCTTTTCTTTTGGGCTAATGGAATGGATCTCTCTTGAGTACAGGCCTATCCTTTTGGATAGATCTCGCCAGGTGGAGTAATCTGGGATCAAAACAAACTTCTTGGATTCTAGCACAAATGAACATAGATGTAATCTAAAGGATTCCCCTCCTAAATGAAATGCAAAGGATTTTCTCTCCGACCAAAAACTGGCAAAACCCAGGAAAATCAATCCAAAACTAGAAAAATTAAAATGAAAGAGAATGAAACACAGATAATTTAACAGTTCATACTAAGAATAGAAATGCAGGTAGTTGTGTTTTTATTATTGTAGACCACCTTTAATATGATGACATACCATTTCTTTACATTTGTCAGTATTCACCATGATGCATGTGAATAGCCCATCTAGGTTAATTACCAAAAGATGATCCCAGACCTTGAAGGATAATTATGCATCCTTCTACCATGGCCAACCCCATCCATTCCCTACTTCCTACACGTTATTCCCTCACAACAATCGACTTAATTCTACAACTGACAACCTAAAGAAACAACATTAACTAACAAAAATAGAGCCAAAGACATGATCTTTTTCAGACAAACCTTGTCAAGAGTTTGCGTGGTAAGAACATAAAGAGGCGGCGCGACCAACTTTATCTTCACTGGGCAATCAGCATTCCCAGCTGCCTCAGCTTTCTTCATTGCCTCCTGCAAAACCAAAATCAAACAAATTTAAAAAAAAAGGAAAAATAAAAGACAGAAAAAAAAACCCAGATGCAATACAAACACTGTTAACCAACCTTAATATGCAAAACCCCATCAAACTGAAAGCACTTCATCTCGATATCGGCCCTAATTTTCAACGGTTGTGGCGTCATCCTCCTCCTGATATTCTTCACCAGTGCCTCCTTCACCTCTGGTGTCATCGCTGTTACCACCTTAGTCACCTCCTCCCCATTGGGCCCCACCTCCTTCACCTCCCTCGTCAAGCAATCAAGAACTGTGTCCGGATCCGTCACAATTACCTTCGTCATGCCCCCCAAAAAATAATTATTAATCAATTATAGAATTAAGGCATATGACAACCAACCACAAATCCTCTCAACAAGAGAACTTGGTGAAGCCTAATTCTAATAGGGTTTTTTCATAGAAACCATCTTTAAAATAGGATCATTTTGTGGAAACCACCTTTGATTTCCAGTTTATACATAAACTGCCTTTAAAGTGTTTTTTGTTTCAATCAACCACCTGGGTCCGCTTTTCACTTCAGATTTTTCGACAATTGAACCCACCTAACCTCAACTAAGGACCATTTCTAATACAATTGGTATTCAACAACTAATTATCATAGCAAAATCGAAAGAACTTGATTTGAAAGTGGGCACATGTGGTTGCTTGCAACAAAAAGTACTTTAAAGATGGTTGTATAAATTGCAAATTTGGTTTCTATAGAATGACACTATTGTAAAGGTGGTTTCTATGAAAAAACCCATTCTAACATGCTCAACAAGCATATGTTCACAGATTATGATCCCAAAAAAAGAAATTAATATTTCTAATCCAAACACATGGATATTAAGTCAAGACATTCGGTACATAATAAGGAGTGTTTGGAGTTGATATATAATATAGCTTTCGTGTGTATATATGTTATGACAGAACAGGTACCAAATATATATGTGTATATATGTTATGATATAATATAGCTTTCGTGTGTGTATATACTATATATGTGTATATATGTCATGTCAGGGTACCAAATATTTCGCAATTTAATGGTCTAAAGTTTCCAATCCTTTTTAACTTTGATACCCTGACATGATGCCGCAAAGTTTCTCGAGTTATCAAAATGTGAAATTAACTTAAATTTGAAAAGTTTAGGGGAATCAAATTGTCAAACTGGAAAAACAATGTGAAACAAATGTAAATCACAACCTTAAAGGCCTCGAACGCATGCCCGTACTTCCGATAAAGCGGCCACCCGACATGAACATAGAGATCCTCAAGATCCAACCCCATCGTCTCAGCAACATGCCTCATAATAGAATGAACAAGCTTGCTCTTATTATACCTCTCTTCACAAGCTTGTATGTCCTCTTCAGACACCCGACGCTTCGAGAGATCGATGTACCCCTTCTCCTTGTCCACACGGAGAACCATGACGGGCTCCTGGCGGCCGACCTTGATGAGGCTGCTGACGCTGCGGATTCGGCGGCGGGAGAGCTCGGAGAAGAGGATCATGCCCTCGATGTTGTTGTACTCGAGGAGGGAGACGTAGGCGCCCATGTCGGCGATGTTCTTGACTTGGATCATGACGGCCATGTCAACCTCCGGGTACTTGGACTCGTACATGCGGCATTCGAGGTTTGGGGGATTGGATGACGACATTGGACTAGGGTTTTGGGGTTCTAGGGTTTGGGTTTGGGGATTAGGGTTAGGGTTTCTGAGAAAGGGGGTGGGAGAGACGGAACTCGGGAGGGCTGAGAAGGGGAAGGAGGAGAATCGGGAGAGTAGGGCTAGCTTTGATTTTACGGCGCAGCACAGGGAAATATCGCGGATAATTTTTCGATAAATACGAAAATTCGCTGAGGAAATAAGCGTTCGTTTTATATTAGCCCCTTACATCTTTAATATTTTAAAACTAGACCCTTCAATATTTGTAAGAATTACTAAAATTGTTAGTAGGTCCCCCATCCTATGAGTTGTTTAGAGTCAACCATGTTAATTAAGGTACCGTTTGGCAAAAGATTAAGTGAGGGGTTAAGGAGACTTAACCCCTTCTTAACCCGCTGTAGGCTGTCTAAAAATCACAATGGATAGCTGATCCAAACAAGTCCTGACAATAGGAGTTACAATCAGACGACTCCCCAATCACTGCATTCGCAACTCTGCCACCGCTATAAACACGGCCTCATCTCCGAGAAATAAAAGGTTGGACTTAGCTGGTGAGTTGCTGGGTAGAGAGCTGTGGGCAAATATTCGTCCAGAAGACACTATGGATGTTGATTCCCGTCAAGCTCCAACAATGAGAGCTACAATCAAATAGCTTTCACGCCGACGATCGAAAACGACAAATAGGAGACTTTTCACACGGATCGAGAAGAGTTACAATTCGACGACACTTCCGACAGCTGATGAAAACTCTGTTCAGTGGCCTTCACAACCAACAGTGAGAGTTACAATCTGACGACTCTCATATCCTATAACAGGCAAAGATCAATAAACAATAGCTTTTGTAATGTTATAGTGGACGAGGTTATAAGCCAACAAGTTCTCCCAAACGCAGAAATTCATTTCTGCGTTTCTCAAACGCACACAATCTGTGCGTTCATCAACAGACATCGAACTCTGAACGCAGAGTTAAATCACGAAACGCACCCATAACGTGCGTTATTCAACAGACTCAGCTATGTCCCGAACTCTGAACGCAGAATTAAATTTCAACGCACCAGCAGCCTGTGCGTTTCCAAGTTCAGAACACACGAGGCCCGTGCGTCTCAAATCCCTAACAGAGATTTAACTCTGCGTCCCAAACCTTGGGCGCAGAGTTAAAGCCCAGAACGCCAATTGAGGCGTTTTGACTTGTTCAAACGCAAGCTGAACGGCCTCATAACCGTTTATCCCACGTTCTGAGGGATTCTCGCCCACAAAGGAGCGGAAATAGGGGTTGGTTGCACTCCACATCACCCTATAAATAACCAACTTACTCAACTGAGTAAGGGGTTGGCGGGTTGAGAGGTTGATCAATCGGTTTCTGAGATAAAAAACCGCAAAGAGTTGAGGGGAGCGGGGATCAAAACCACCCAAGGTCAACAAATCTCGGCAGTTGAGTAATCGGAAGGAAGAGATCTTCGGGGGATCAAGGAACTGATCAACGATCAGTTAATCAAATCCCGAAGGATCCTTTCATCAAAGGTATCATCCACTTGGCAATTAACCGAATTTTCGGTTCCAACAACTCTGTTTTAGAGTTTTAACTCATTCTGAGTTCTTAAACTCGTTAAGAGTTTTTAATTAGCTTGTAACGCAAGTTAATCACATCAAACCAGACATTCGGTTTTCAACAACTCTTATCAGAGTTCTTAACTCGTTCAGAGTTCTTCAACACTCGTCAAGAGTTCTAAACCGAAGTCATCAAACACTTCAGTTATTCCAGTGAAGAAGGACGGTCGGATCGTCAACGGAGAGCAAGTTCGACGCGATCAATCGAAGGAAGCACTCCATCGCTACCAAGAAGAACCCAGTCTTAAACAAAGGAGAGAATCAAATCCATTCTCTTCTCTTTTGTAATCGGAATCCAAATTGTAATCGATTTTGAGAGAATACAAGTCAAATTTTCTTTCTTTGTCTTTTTACATCAAATTTCCAACAAACACAATATATCATAAAACCAACCATGATATACATTCACATTCAACACTCATTCAATTTCATCCGTCAATCCACAATATCGAATAATACTCGTCATATAATCACAATCACAATACATCTCGCATGCTCAAATAATATTCATTCACTACGCAATAAAATCACATATATATTTTATATATGTAAAATTCAAAAGTCATGATATGTCTTAACACAAGTCTCACTCACTCCTCGTCATCGTCGGCATCCCTGTTATCAGCATCGTCTGCATTAGAACGTCGTATCGTACTGCTGCTCCCTACAATACCTCCTCCAACCTGAAAAGAATATCACTCCACATAAGATATATATATACCAAAAATATAATAATAAATACATATATGTCGCGTCATATATACCTCTCCACCACCATGAACTTCATGCTCGGCAAACGCCAACTTAAAGATCTCTAAGTATATCGACTCAGGAAGAATCTCCTTCAACGATGGACAATCACTGAGGCGCTGCACAACATCCCAAGTCGATTGTGCACCCCCTAGCTCGCGCGTAATAATGGGAATAAATTGAAAAAACATCGAGGGTTGAACATTGTCCATTAAATACTGTCCAATTTTAGCCACGACGTACGATGTCACACTTGGTCGATTTGAGGTCGCGGACGAGTCATTTTGTATATTCCTGCTAGTGGAGACTATCCTAACTTTTGCACTTGATAAAGGCACCCTCCCTTTCTTGATTGGTTTAGAGCCATAAACTCCATCAACAATTTCCCTCCATTGCTCTCTAGTCATGCGATTAGGATCGGTAGGAGTGTTCTCTATGCTCTGAGACTGGGACAAGACAAAGTCTTGTGAAGCTTCAAGCGCCTCCTAAATAACATATAGCAATAGAAATAAATAAATTAGGGCAGTCTTAAGCAATGGAACTCAACCAATAGAAATAAATAAATTAAGACAATGTTATGAATTAAGTGCAAAGCTATATGATCACTTTCTTATTTCATTTATAGTCGACCTTTTTCAGCTATGATTCTGAAAGAAAAAGATATGTCACTGGACATGCATTTTTTACCTTCTTCGTCAAACATACTGGTATAATATGAGTCGTGCAGCCTAGGCTTTAAGTTCATGACTGTTACAAATACATCACAGCTAGGCTTGAAGTTCATGACTCTGTTACAAATACCCGGAAGATAACAGCTAGGCTTGAAGTACGGGAGCAAATTGCAGATAAGGCCCTCCCTGTTTACATATTTGCATATATCAATCCAATCTCCATCCGTTCAGTCAAAAGCTCTGAAAACTAACTCAAGTGCGTACAGTTCATGAAGCCTTTGACCGTAAAAACTATTCACCCGGCCGCCTGTTTCCGTTCAAAAAAGAAGCAGAAAAGCTTGATTCCACCTAGCAAAAAACACTAGGACGAGAATAGAATTTAACATACAAATGGATTTGGTCCGTTTTTTTTAACATTATATAGACTAGGGCCTATAATCTTAATGGATCACCTTTTATTAGCCATGACTTATCTCTAACTCAGAGAAAATGACACCACCAAATTCTTCTAAAAGCGAGCTTGGACCAAAGATCAAATAATTACAAAACCTGATTAGAGTTAGGTTTCACCCGCAACAAACTGATTGTTTCAATGAATACCACCGGCGGTCCTGAGGGTGGCTTTCCTGCGAAGACCAAGTTCAAGTCATTCTTGTGGCACGCTACCGCACCAATTCGACCAATGACACTTCTTGCTGGCTTTCTTGCTATCTGGTTGAAAAAGTGCGTGGTTCCATATCAGTCTGGCGACGCCTTGCCCTTGGAGGTACTTTACCCAGCAGTTCAGCTCGCCTATAAGAAGGAACTCTCACTTCTTCCGGTGATGGTGGCTAATATTCACCGAGGACTTCGACAGCTTTCCAGTGCGTTCACACGGAAGGAGACCGATTTACCAGGTCAGATTCCCACGCTTAAGGTGGAGCTCCCGTACGCTTATCTGATGGCCTGGTTTGTCCTTCATCGCTCGGATATGATGTCGGTGCCGAACGCCACAGACCATTCTGTTCCCCTGCTACAGTTGCTTGAGAATGGCAGGTGGGAGGGCCGCGGATTTTCTGATGTCAGACAGCAGTTGCAGGTCCATAAGTGTTGGGCATTCTCTACTTGTTTTCCGCAGTTCTCCGGTCGATATGGTGAATGCTTGATAGATGATGAGAGGCCTAGAGAGTACCGGACTTATTTAGACATCGGCTGCTTCAACTGGCTAGTGAATATTAGGCCCGGCTATCTGACTTTCCGGGTGAGGGATCAGTGCTTCATCGAACCATATCTACCGTGCCGATTCGCTCGCCAGTTTGGCTATGACCAGCTTTACATTGGGAATCCTCGTCAGCAGCTTCGTACTCATAGTGGTTTGATAGACGGTCTCCGCGCTTGGTTGTGGACCGTGACTGGCTGTACTGGTGTTAGATTTAGTCTCCCGAGTGCTGACCGGCAGTTGAACCTTACTTTCTTGAGCTGCAAATGGTTGTTAGCAGCCAACAAGACTATCCCTGTGAAGCCAATCGCAGAGTTAGAGGCTGAGGCAGCTTCCCAGGTTGATTCCCGCAGGATTCGGGAAAACGCCCGGGCACAGAGGATACGGAACAAGACTCGTCGGATTGACGAAGAGGGACAGAGGACATTCCATTCCACAGACGAGGCTTCGGGCGGGGATCCCGAAGATTACGATGACTTTTCCGAGCGAGGTTTGCACTTCATCTTTTTCTTCTATCTTCCAGAAGTGTTGAAACTGACTATGGTTTGATGTTCCAGATACCACAGTTGATCAGGATGAAGATTTCCGTCCTCCTCCTCAGGCGAGACCTTCGATCCCTATTGCTAGGCGGAAGAGATTGGCCCGCAAACCTCGTGTAGCTTCACGAGCATCTGACATGGATCTGGCTGGAGATGACCCTATTAGTGACAGAGGTAACGTCTACTCTTTGAACCATTTTCTTGGTTATTCTGAACATTGACTCATGCTTTTCCATTTCTATATAGGAGTGCGTGGGGAGGATGAGATGAGTCCCGATCCTGTTCCCTTATCTCCCGATGAGTCTGACCCACTACCCCCTGTAGAGAAGTCTACAGGGGTTGCTGACATTAGGGAGGAGATCAGTGTAGGACCAGATTCTGTGAGTCAAGGTACATCTATCACTGACAGC